GCGTCTTCACTGTGCCTTTACTTGTAGGCCTCTAGACCCTCAATCTTTTGAGTACTCTGTGTCAGGTTCAGTGTTGGTGTTCAGTTCCTTGGAGAAGCATCAGGCATTGCTCTGCCTTGAGATCCTGCCAGTGCTCAAAGCCTCGGATCCATCTGGAGAGAGAAAATGAGCAGCATAAATTCCCAGTTCGTGTATTAGCTAAAAAGGTGGTTAGTCTCTGCTATTTCTGCATTTGGGATCCTCAGTCTGAGTGTGGGCTCATTACTCTATTGAATTATATATCAGAAGTAATTTCTTTTCCTGGGAAGTGAATCCTACATACAAAGAATCCAAAACGGATTCTTTGTGTCTCTCAGATGTTGCTTTTGCCTTGGATAGTCTTCAGAAAAACAAATTGTCTGATTAAGTTCACCACTGGTTTTGCCCCCCCATCTAGAAATTAGATGAGATCATAGATTTAGCACATTTTCTGGATGCTGAGATTCATATGCAGTGTGTTGAAGGAGCAGCAGCTTTCCTTAGCAGCCACTCTCTTGTGCTGCCCTTAAGCATCCTGTAATGATGCAGTTTTCATTTTCTAATGCCATTGAACCTTTCTGTGCTGGTGCTTCAGCAAAACCGTAACATCTTCAAACCTAACAGAAGGGTTATTTTGAAGTTTTCAGTTATAGGAGTATTAATGCTTGTTTCCTTAACAGTCTGTTACATGCTGTAGGCAAGGATTGTGCTGTTTGAGGTGAACACAGCACAAACTGCTGTGCAGATCTGCCCACTTCAGACATCTCAGTGGAAGCCAGATGAATGACACTGTTTCAGGCATGGACTAGAGCAGTGGGAAAATGGCCATCAAGAGTTAAGGGTTTATTGGTATAATGAAGGGTAGATTTTCTCACTTCCCTGCCAGTCCCTTTTAAAGAGGATTCTCTGAGCAGAAACAAAGGCTTGCTGTCCACCACCATTTACTGTGTCACTTCTTTTCCCAGATTTCTGTGCTGTTTTTCTCACATCTGCAGTTATTCCATTTATCCCTGTTTTTATGGTATGACCCCAGTTGCAATGCATCTGTTCTTAGTTATTTTCCATCCTTTCACTCTTCTAAACTTCACTGTATTCCCTTAGACATCACCTTTTTGTTTTTAAGTTCCTGTCTGCTTCACAAGGTTTCTGTAATTTTTGTTACCATCATTCTGTGGAGCATCTTTGTTCTCACTGTGTATCTTAAGCCCACTTTCTTCAGCAGTTTCCTTCACTCACTGCTGCTGGACTTCCTACATCTTGTCTCCAGTGTGTCATTTTGAGTCACAGATGGAAGGCTGAGCTTCAAGGCTGCAGGAACCCTGGACTTCCACACAGAAGTGCTGTAGCCAAACACAGTTGTCCAGTTCCAGACCAGGTTGGCAACCTTGTGATGTTATTTATGAGTCTGGAGAAATATTATGTCCCACAAGATTTAAATAGCTGGATGTTGGATCAAGTTTGAGTTTGTAATAACAGTTTTGCATTGCTTTCTGCCCCTTACACAGCCTTGATGATAGGTAGAGGTCTTGTCTGAAAGGCAGGGTGGCTCCACGTGAGTTGGGGCAGTTAGGTAGCCATCATTTGTGCACTATATTTTATCTAGAAGCACTGCTTAGTATTTCTTATATTGCTGAATTGTGTTCAGCAATTGTAATATTGGAGTATGATTATGATACTTCAGTAATAAGCAATAGGGAGTTCTTTACTTAATCCTACCACATTCTTTGGCTGTTTCTAACTTCAGTTTGCATTCTACCTCCTAAAACCCAGATTGACTCAATTCTACCTCAGCAAGCTCTACCTTGCACATACCTGTCACACAGAGCTAGTACGAATGATGTGATCCCCCATTTAAATCTTCAGTCAAGTTTAGCTGTATAGGATTAAAATTCACTGGCTAGACTAATTTTACACTTTAATTTCAGGAATTTAAGAGAATGGTGGGATTCTTCAAATTCTCCTGAACTCACTCTCCGGGTACTGAAAGGATCTCAATGCATCAGTTTGCTAAAGTTGCTGCTTTAATGACTTTAGTGGTACCAGGTGCATTCCTTGATGACTTCTGTTTGCTCTTTTTATCATGAATTTAACATTACTCTTTCAATGCACATTTTTGCAATCATAAAAATGCGCTTTATGTTTACACAATCACAGTCTTGCAAGTGAAAAGGGACAGAGATGTTCACTTGAAACATTTCTTACAGAATAAACATTGCTAGCCAAAAGGGAGGATGAGATTCTCAGTGCGTCTTTAGCACAGATGTCCTGGAAAAGGGCACTAAGAGCTCCAGAACTTGGGTAAAATGGGATTCTTGGAAGTAAATATAAGCTGTTGCCTACCTAACAGGTTTAACAGCAGGAGAGGTGTCTTAGGGAATGCTGCAGCCTTGCAGCATTGATTCAAACTGGTGCTGTTGTCACAGGCAACAGACAAGTGCCACTGCTCACCTGAAATAGACCTGTGCACTGAATTAATCGTGGCCATCGTGTCACCATGCTTGCAATGACCTGTGTGGACAGGTGGCTGAAAAAAGAAATCCCCAAAGCCTTTCCATGCTGAAAGCCTTTGGGTTTTTTTCCATTACATGGAATTCCATTTACATCTTGCTGGAGGCTCTTATCTCAATCTCTCTCCCTGCCATCCTGCAGTCATATGAATTTAGTTGCATGTGGAGCTCCTGATCATCACCAAGGAATGACCAAGGTCTGGGAGATAAAATCTTTTTTTCTGGGGACTTGTTGTCCTGGTAGGACTGATCTCTGTATGAAGGGAAATGTGTTATTCTTCAGACTTTGATTTCTCACTCGCTTTTTAGGTAGTGAACTGAGCACTGATGGCCTTGCTCTTGAAGAGAAATATCCTGTGTTGCAGCCTTGCTGCAGGACTTCAGTTCTTACACCCTGGTGTTCCTACAGGACAGGACTAGGAGCAGGTGAGAATGCAGCTAAGGTTGTACCTCATACTTATCAGAGAGATTTCCCCAAGAGTCACCAGATTTAAAGTTTTTCAGAAAAATAAGGATCACACTGTTGGAGTCAGTGCTGTGAACATAAATTCTCACCAAGCACTGTGTAAATATTAAAAGGAAATTAATTTATGTAGCACTTTAAATACTATATAAATTCAACCTCGAGTCAAAGTCCCATCCCAAAGATTTAGAAAGAACTTGTACAATTTGGACTGGGGAAGAAAAAAAAAATCCCTCCTTTTTAAGTAAAGGGAAAAGCCTAACTTTTTATTTACTCCTGTATTCATATTGCACAGTAAAATACTTACATTAAAATGTGTCAGTTTTCAAAAGCAACTTGTTACTCTGTTTTTCAACTGAACTTGGCCAGACTAAAAAGAGAATTATATATGCCAGAGGACTGCAGTAAAAGAGATTTAAGTGTTTTCAAGTAGCGTAAGAAAGAGACTATAATAAGTGACCAGTGGACTAGTCGGCAGTTTTAATTAAAACTGGGCTGCTTATTGATCTGTCGTACAGATTCACCCCGTCTGCAATATTTCAGCAATGTTCCTGTTTCAGAAAACAGCACTTGTAAGAGCCAGGAAAGAATATGGACGTTTAGAACGGAAATGTTTTGTAACTGGGACATTTTGTGCTAAGATCTTTTTCAGTCTCATTTAAGCACCTCACATATCTTCACACAAAAATGAAAGCAAAGATATGGAATCTATAGGATAGTCTATCCTTGTCTAGTGGAAGGTGTCCCTGCCCATGGCAGGGGCGGGGAACAAGATGAGCTTTTCCAACCCAAGCCATTCTGTGATTCCATGATACTGCTTTTCTAACTTAATACCAATGGGTTCACTGCATGTCAATGTGAAAAAAATCCAAGAAGTCTAAAATATATTGGTATTTTTAAAGATCTCATGTTCTTGAAACCAGTGGGTTCTTTAGCAGTTGCATCTTCAAGGTGGGCATTTGTAATCCCTGAACTGACTGACCTACATTTCCACTGGGAAAACCAAGGAAACTATTAAAAAGGGGCTAATAAATGCTCTGCACAGGTGTGGAAGGTCTGTGGTATCAGCAACTGCACTTGGTAGATCTGCTTTGTTCCTTAAGGGTTTGCTTATTTTAAAATTATAATTATTTTAAATTCCCATTTTTAAAGTAACATGGTGGAATTAAAATACCCTCAATGCAAATTTGGCACAAAACCCTGGTTTCAAAGCCAGAATGCTGTCCTGAAATAGCAGCACTAGCAGAACATCTGCACTGGAAGGAACTGCTGCTGTGCTCTGGTTGAAAAGAAACACAAACTGAAGGTGGTGATGTGTCTGTTTTTAAATTAAATACATGCATGTTATTTAAAGTTTATGGAGAGCTGTGCTGTGTTTACAGAGCAGCTTGCGTGGCAGCCGTGTGGTGCCTTCCAGGTAGCGTCAGGTGAGCACCTGGTGCTGGCAGCAGGATGAAGCCATCAATGGTTATCATTCTTGTCGCTCAACAGCTGTATTTTAAGGAAAAAAAAATAAAGGACATAGGTGTTGAGTTTTATTATGAAACCCGAACGGCTGGGAACTTGATGCTTGCACATGGGTCAAGAGCTTTGAGAAATCGGGGTTAGATATAGAGACAGTTTTTTGAGTGGGAAACATCACTGTTTTATTTTTAGATGAGGAAAAGGTCTCATGAGGCTTTTACTACCCCAGAACGTTCCTGCTCACCGGAGTAATGAGGTGAAGCGTGCAGCCTACAGACGGCCACACAGGCCAGGGCCTTTTGCGGTGCCCGCTCTGCGGACTTATCCCTCGGGACTGGTTTCTGTAGCAGCCGGGGAAGGCCAGGGCCGGCCAAGCCACACCCCGGCCCCGACTGTCCCCCCGCGGCTCCCGTCAGCCCCGGCAGCCATTTCCCGCCGGGGGGCGGCTCCACACGCCATGCGCCTCGTCCCATTGGCTGATAGCACTGCGGAGGTGCGGCTATCTGCCGTCTCTCGATTGGTGCGTGCGGCTGTCACTCTAGGCGGAGGCGTGGCCTGGCGAGGCGGATCCCCGCAGGGGCGCTGCGGCCGCAGTTGCGCTCGGGCGGCGGCGGGTGATGGCGGCGGCGATGGGCTCTGCGCTGCTGTTCCTCCTGGCGCTCCTCGGGCCCGCGGCCGCGCTCGCCGGATACATCGAGGTGTGTGAGGGGTGCGAGGGCGGGGGTGGGCGGACAGGGCTCCTCCGGGGTGCCCGATGCGTAGGCGAGAGGTAAGCAGGATTCGGGGTGTCTCGGCTGTATAGAGCCACCTGGAGAGTGTCCAGCGTCTTTGAGACCTTCCCGGGCTGGTGAGTTCGTATTTTACCGGTGTTTTCGGGAAAGCCGTCTCCCTCAGGCCGCTCATCTGGACGGGAAGCTCCGTCTCACCGGGATGCTTGGGGCTGGTTTTTTTTGGGGACGTGACCTCGGCATTCTTGGCACGGGAACAGGAGCGGCCCGCTTCAGATGGGTCCCGAAGCATTGAAGACTGTTAGAGGGCCATTCCCTAGAGGAAAATCTCGGTTAAACGAATCCATTTGGTTGCTGATGGATCCAAAATAAATCTTTGGGTTGGAATTGGTACCTTGGCTTTCGGGGAATATGCTTCAGCCAAGTGTAAAGGCTATACATTTCATATAGAAATGGCTTAGATGCCCATAGGAGTCTGCGTTTGTGTGTGTCTGTATATATAATTACACATACATAAACGGGTATATATTACTTTTGTATGTAGGAAACGTATTGTATTTGCATATATGAATATAACTGGACAGAGGAAATTCCAGCTTTATCCTAAATCTAAAAGCTCAGTGTAATCTAGCTCTCCAAACAATAAGATGAGTAGGAGAAAATCTTGTGCGTTTAAAGACTTGATACTATAACTTGCCTTATTAGAGGAAGAAGCAAAACAAGGAGCTAGGTATGTGCTTGGCCTGAGAAATGGCACGTAAACAGAGGTTAATAATTGCGCCTGAATGTTGTTTGGAAATGCAAAACAGCTGCATCAGTCTTGTGGAGGCTCTGGGTTATTTAGGGCTGAATAAAGAAAAGGCTTGTGGCTGTTTGTGAATGGCTTGATTTGAGAGTTTACAGTAAATTTTAGCAAGCTTGGTTAAGCAGAACATCTACCTCAGATGCAGAACTCCAAAGCTCTAAACTGGTGGTAATTCCTGGCAGTAGACTTGTATATTTTTAATATATGGTGTATGAAATTGGTCTAGTCCATGATTTCTGCTTGTTTGGTTGCTATTGAGGAATAGTATTCCACATACTTTGTACCAGTCCTTCTGTTAAATTTCTGTAAATGAATGGAACATGGTTGATAACTATTTGTGGGACAACTCATGGGGAGGTTATCTTGCAGGAAGGATGGTGGAGCTGCTCTGAGGGCACAGAGCTAATGCCCAGATCAGGTTCTTTGGCATTGCCTTGGTGGCAGGTCTGATGCTACATCCAATCTCTTGCACCTGTTTGGCAACTCCTCCAGCTGTAGGTCACTTCCTCTCTTACATCCGAGACAGATTTGGCTGCTATGTGCATCCCTTCTGGAATCTGCTGCTTAGGGACATGTGCCATGAAAAATCAGCTTGGAAAACAAATCTAGCTGTCGTTTTATTCCAAAGCCTGGTGTCTGTGTGATGGAACAGATTCCGAATTTTGCCCATCCCAGGACTGGCGTAGAGGGAGAGCAGCCATGTCCCACGTTGACACTCCAGGAGGGGCCAGCTGGAGAGGGGGTCACTGCCCTTTTAGAGAAGGATTAAAATGAAAATGTTCCTGCAATTCAGTTTGCGTCCTCTGAAGGCATGATAGCCACCTTCGTTTGCCATAAAATGTCAGCTGTGGCATTTTAATCCTTATTTTTGCTATTTTTGCTGCGTCCTTTCGCATTGTCTTGTCAGTGGGGGGACTGCAGCTCTCAAGTCTTTATTGCTGTCAGATTTGCTCAAGAACTGCTCTCGATGCAGAGCTTAGGAAGTAAATGGTTTTGTTCAGGGTTTTATACTGTGGTCATTACTGGATTTTATGAGCTAATGTGATGAAAAATATGCAAGCAATTGGTTTTTTAAATAATCAAGATGCCATTTGAAAGTTATGGAAAAGGTGTAACAATGTCTGCAGTTATTAATTAGTTCAGCTGGATTGGCATGGTCCCATTAGGTGGATTTTCTGTCTCTTGATTATCTTAGCTCCCATTCTCTGTCCCTGGAACACCCAGTAATCTTCTTATCAACTACAATCTGTTTTTCTTTCTGTGCAGGACAGAGCAAGGGGAGTGGCAGTTTATTTTTTTCTCTTAAATTATTGTATCTGAACTCTTGACTAGGGCGTTCCCAAGGGTTGGTGCTGGTGACAGTCGGTCTCCCTTTCAGATCATAGTGTGGGGATGGCTGATAACCTCTGACAGTCTCTCTTCCAAATGAATATGAATAGAAGAGTTTAGAGAAATCACGGATCCCAGCAATTAATGTATTTCTTTCAATAGCAGTATGTGTCTGAATTTTGCTTGTTTTGCTTGTGAAGTCCCCAAGAACCTCAAACAGGACAATGATACCAACTGGAAAAAGAAAATAAATCTATGCTAATTAGATCTGTATTCCAGTGATAAACTACTTCTGCTGTGCCCTCAGGACCTTGGAAGGTGTAGAGTTTTTATTAATTACTTGACCTTTTTGTGTAATCAAATCGAAGGCAATGCAGACTTGATACGGCTTTTTTAAAATAAGGTATGGTATTTTTCCAAAGATCTCTTGGATGCTTACATCTGTTACCTGCCTGCTCAAGTCACCACGATTTGGGGGAGGGGGAAGAAAAAAGGTGTGTTTTGCAGCAGAATTTCGTGCTATTATTTTTGTCTTGTATTGCTTAAATTCTGCCTGACAAAAATATCAGCCTTGTGCCATTTCTGCAGACCTTGGGGACTTCTAATTGCCTGCGGCATCGAACAAAGAACTCCACCTAGGGAAATTTCCACTTTGGTGTTGGAGTCCTGAGCAGAAACAGCTCAGGAAAATTCCAGTCTTGAGCCTGTGGCCTTTAGTTTGCTCTCAGTTCCTAAAACTTTGCTTCCCGGTGTTAAGAAATACAGCTTCCTATGAAGGTGATTATATGCAGTGCCTCTCCTAAGCTTTAATTAAAGCTCCTCTGAAACAAAGATATGGAAATAAAGCAAACCTGATACTGTGGGGAGGCTCTGGATTTTCTGCTGCATTGTAGGATAGCACGTGATGGCAAGTGCTTCTTTCTGGAGGATGCCTTCAGCTCTACTTGTGTCACCTGTGAAATTATCATCTCTATGAAATGTTATTTAGGCATTAACAGCTCTACCAGGGATTGTATGACTTTTTTGTTCATGTGGTTGTTGCATCACCTGCAAGTAACTCAAAAGCTGTTCTGTAGGTGGCTTTAGCTGTATTATAATTACTCACTGCTTCTCCTCCAGCACCTGGGAGTGCAGGGAAGGATTAGTGCAGTTCCCTATGCTCTTCTCCAGTTGTGCTTCTCTCTAGATGTGCCTTGTAAAACTTCTCCCATTGCTTTTCACTGTGTGTGTGTCTTGAGGCATGTGGGCTCAATCTTGGAAGCGTAAGTCACCTTGACTGCAGCTTCTGCTTGTACACATGTACTTAAACCAAAGCCTTTTTCCTCAGCTGAAAATAGAAGAGAAATACACCATCCCAATCTATTTCTTGTTAATAGATGAACAAGATGAATAAGTTCATCAGTGGATGAACTTTGCCTTGTTAAAAGGCAAAGCCTTTCACTTTCCTTTTTTACACTTGGGCATTTCATGCTCTGCTCTTTAACTCCTCAGCCTTTCGAAATTGATGCAATCCTTCAGACTCTTGCTCTTGTGCTTCTTCTGTGCAGTAAAACTTGGTGTGGTTGTTTTTAAGTTCAGGCAGTCAGCACCTCTGAAACGTGTTAAGATGATACTTGCTGTTAATTGGAAGGCTTTGAATACTCACAATGGCCTAGAAACCCTTCTGGTGACAGTTCTCCTAATTCAGAACTGTACTTGAAATTGCAAGATGGCCCCTTTTTTTTTCCAAACTGTTGTCTGCATCCATTATGCACATGTTCAGCTTTCTCTACTTGCAGTGCGTTTGTCACAGTGAAATGGCATCTCCTACCACAGTTTTTACTTGCTGGGTATCTTAAATGGAGTATTTAGGGCTCTGTGACTATGCATTAACTATATTAATGTTATCATTTGCTTTTGGGTATTTCCATTTTCAGCTTTTTCCTATAGGTGTCAATAAGTCTCAGGTTTGTGGGGAGAAACGGGTTTTATGCACAACGTTGTGCATAAAAATTTACAATTTTTCCTTATGTAGATATATACTTATTGTGTGCTTACTAGTGTGAGTTATATAGTAATAAGAAGGAAGATGTGAGTAGAGTAAGTTGTCAGGTTCTTTTTATTGTGAATTATCCAAAATGACATGTTTTTTTCTGGTTTGGAGGGGTTGATGGCTCCTCCTCAGATACAATAGGATAGAAGTAACTCTAGCCTGTTAATACTGTTACTTATATAGGGCTAGTGGTTGGTGCTGTAGGAACAGCAGTCTGGCTCCTGAGGGGCAGTGCACAGGGAAAAGTGCATTTTGGGAGACATAATTTGGCTGGGGTTTTCTTTGAGAGTAATTTCTTAACATTAGATTCAACTTCTTTTAATTTATGAATTCCTGCAGCTGTAAGCAGGGAGATATATATATATATATATACATGCATACACACACATTTCGCATAGGGATCTAGCTTGTGAATTACACTTTTTTTTTTAACTTGTTCAACACTAGATTTACTACTTCCACCTCCATCTGCCTTCTCAGTTGGAGTTAAATATATATTTTGGATTGAGTGTTCGCTAAGCTATGCTACCTTATGTGAGGACATAGAAAACATAAATACCAAAGAATACAGAAGTGCAATCCACCTTTTAGCCTGGCTTTGAAATGTCCATAGGTTCTAATGCTTGCTCTGAAGGTTTGATGTTTAAAACAAAATTTTGTCTTTATGTGTATTTATAGGAGTTTTAAGTCACAATGCAAGATGAGTGATCAAAACACCAATGTTCTGCAAATGATGTTAAACTAATCTCCCTAGCAGCCAAACCCAGCCTGCTTGTCTTTATGTAATCAAGTGTCCACCTGATC